TCATGCACAGTTCTGATTTGAAACTATGAGTGCTCCCAGGAAGGACTTATATCTAGACACCTTCTAGACACCTTATATCTAGACACATCTTCTTGGGATAAGTGAAATATTCTGAATTTTAGTTTTGAAATGAAACCCACTCAAAAGTTAGTCGTTTCAATCAGTTAGTCTGGTCCATCTTGGTCTGCACTTGGAAATATCGCCCAACACATATGCTTTAGAGAACTAGAAAACAAAACCAAAGGGGAAAAAAATTGAGGGGAGAAAAACTGAAGACCAGAGGAACTTGGAAATATACGTGGAATGTTCTAGAGGATGTTCTGTTGACCAACTTGTCCAAAAGTTTTATTTTGAAGTGTTGTATTTATGCAAAAATTGAATGCATTTCTTTCTTTCCAGGAAACCGGGCGGAAGAAAAAGGTAAGTCCCAGGAAGCATTTGTGCTTCTCAGCAATTAAACCAAACAGAACATAACTGTGTGTCACATTTTTGGCTACTTTTGACAAAGCGTCAATATAATTCCTTCGTGCACAGTTCTGATTTGAAACTATGAGTCCTTCCAGATAGGGCTTATATGTAGACAGCTATTCTTTCTTTGCTTCTCTGTTGCAATGATATGTTTCATATTAAAATTACATATGGGAAGGAAGGAACAAACATAAACTCAAACTGTATAAGGTAATTATCTGGGAAAATCTGCTTCTGAAGGGCGTCATACACATTTTTAAGTTTAATTGAATAAATTCGGGCTTTATAATTAGCACCTTGAGTTGGGCTTAGAGGAATCAGTAAACCTGATTTGTCCGCATCAATGTAGGGGTAATGTGGACACTCTAGAAGTGCAACTCACTATCTAATACTATATTCACGCTGCAGTTTCTAGGTCATCTTTGTGATGCATCCCGCAAAGGCACAGGGCAATAATTCAGACTGAGAGGTTCCAGTTCTTCATACTGGTATCACTCATTGCTGATATCAGAGCTCTCTTTCCAGAAAGGACAGATTTCACTAATTAGCCTTCTAAGATGAGCTGCAGACTTGCTCTTTTAAGGTGAGGGATGGCCCCTCCAGGACAGGGAGGGCATCACTGGACAGATGAGATCCACAGATCAACAAAGAGTATTTCCATCTTAACTGGGTTGAGTTTCAGCTTATTGGCCATCACACAGTCAGTGAGGGAAAACACACAGTTAGTAGATGAATCAGTTAGTCTGGTTAATCTTGGTCTGGACTTTGAAATACAGCCCAACAGATATGCTTTAGAGGACTAGGAAACAAAACAAAACAAAACAAAACAAAAATTAAGGGGAGAAAAACTGAAGATCAGAGCACCCTGCAAATTTATGTGGAATGTTCTAGAGGATGCTCTGTTGACCCACTTCTCCAAAAGTTTATTTTGAAGCGTTCTATTTATGCGAAAATTGAATGTATTTTTTTCCTTTCCAGAAAACCAGAAGGAAGAAAAGGGTAAGTCTCATAAAACATTTCAGTTTCTGAGCAGTTAAACCAAATGTGTCACATTTTTGCTCCTTTTGACAAAGCATCAATATAATTCCTCCGTGCATAGCTCTGATTTGAAACTATGAGTGCTCCAAAGTAGATCCAAAGTCCTGTAAGGATGTTGTGCAACCATCCCCTGCCATTCTTGGGGGACCTAGCTTACTTGAAGGGACATGGATTGATGTATTTTCTCTGTGAATTCTTTTAATAGGTTTTCAATAAATTTCTCTTTAGCATTTCACTCTGATTTTTCGCCTTGGTTGCAGCCTATTTCCTTTGAATCCTTACTGGCTTCCACCTGGCTATTGAGTTGCCAATAGTGCAATCTAATTCAAAGGAAGATATGTAGTGAACATGCCTGTATGTTGGCTTTAGTTTTAAACCAAGCTTTAGTTTTATTCTTATCGACATATATCAGGTCCCTAAATGTAGTACCTTATTGTTTATGTGTAATATCAGCATAAAGTTTCATTTGTTCCTGGTATTTCTGAGGATGTTCTCTAATGGCTGAATCATCCACCTTCATTTCAGGACTCCAAACTCAAAAAGCTGCTGCTGCTGAACCACTGGAATGTCAGTCTCAGGAAGTATCAAACCGCAATCACCAGCTTGATCAAACACAGGCACCATTGTAAGCAAAATTTGAGAGTTTCTGACTCTCCCCAATTAGGACTCAGTCCGGCAGAAGACCAGACACGAAAAGTACCAGCTGAGATTTTAAAGTTTTATTGAAAGAGAGCCAATTGAGTCAGCTGGGGTCTCCCCTTAAGGCAGAGGAGACCCCTCCCACACCCAAAG